CAGTTACATAAGAAAGAAGCAGTAAATAGTTCTTAAAATCACTTTTATTGTTTTTACAATAGGACCACAAAATAGTGTGCTATCACCTTAGGTCTGTATCACTCATCCCTACTTCCAGATAGGCAAGTTGTATGTGTAGAGAGGACTTGATTATTGATTGATGGAAATCAATGGGGTAGTTTTAGGCTTACATCAGTTATACAGTATGAGCAAACATTTCAGAAAAAATATATTTTAGAAATCTTCTCTTAACATTTTAAACACCTAATTTATTGAACACAGAAGAGGATAACCACATTAAGAGTTTCCACTGGTACAATAACATTGTAGTGGATCCATATTGAGCATTGTGGATCTGTCCCAGCTCACACTCTTTGCAGAGACTGAGTGATGAACATGTATGCAGAGTCGGGTGATCCAAAGGGATCACCCGAAGATAGCATGTGTGCCATGCAATAAAAGACACTGTGCAAAACAGGCTTTTTTCATAGGCATTGTTTATTTTGTTGTGGGGAGCTGTTGATAATTTAACTGTTATGGAAACAAAATTCAGCTGAAGAAGAATCCTTCACTTTAATTCTGCAGTAATTTATTCTTGAAGAGACAGACATCTGAGCCACTGCCACAACTGACTTTTATGATTTGTGCTTCAGTTGTTGCAAAAGGTTCCATACACCTTGAACTTCTTCACTTTGTGTCTCGTTAAATCATAAATTTCACAGTATTTTTGTGAGATTTCATGTAAATAGGTCAACACAAAGTAGTGCATACTTGTGAAGTGGAAGAATGAAAGTGAAGACTGTTTAATGATAAAAATCTGAAAAAGCCATTTGTATTCATCCACTTTTACTCTGACATTCCTGAATAAGATCCAAAGAAAGTAATTCCCTTCAGAAATCAGCACAGTGGAGTATAAGGGTGTATATAATTTAATGTCAGAATAAATTGAACTACTCTATGAATCTCAGAGGTTTGTCAGAGAAAATGACAAAACCAAAAACATTATAAAGACCAAGGCACATATCGGATAAGATAGGTGAGGTGGAGATATTTAAATTGGGATGATGTCATAAAACAGTATCCTAGGCCTTTGAGCTTCAAAGATACCAAGAAATGCCCTTCATCTACATCGACAGGCTGGACGGGCAGAGAGAATTAATCAAAGAAGCAGCGAAAAGGTCAACGGTAACTCTGGGGGAGCTGAAAAGATTCATTACTCTGTTTATATTGAAACTATTAGTTGTGCATCTAAGTCATGAAAAGTTCAGGATACATTCTGCCAGAAGTCATTCAGAGGACACAGCAGACATGTTTAGCTTCTCTAGATAAGATGAGATCCAAAGCCAAAACAAAGTGGTAGCAACATTACATGAGAATACTTTCTTTTATAGGAACAATGAAACTGGTCAGAGCTTATTGGAGGATAAATTGAACTAAAAAAAATAAATGTACATATATGACTGTACAATGGACAATGGAAACTGGAAGAGAAGGAGTTGAATGAATCATCATGGGGGAAAAAAAAACTCCCTCCATGGGATATACCCATTACAGATAGTTGTAGTGGCTGAAATGACCAAATCCTACCAGTGGCTCAGACTGGTCTGAAAGACAGAACTGAAATACTGATCACTGTAGTACAGGAGCAGGTCTTGAGCACCAGAGCAACAGAAGCTCAGATCTACCATACCAGGAAAGATCCCAGGTGCAGTCATGTATTTCCCTTTCACTTTACAATTAAGCATTAATTATGTTTGTCTATAAACCAAAATCTCAATGCATTAAAGTATGTAGTTTTGAGAAAAGATGTGAAAAACTTCAGGGTGTAGGAGTACATTTACAATCAATAAACAAAAAATAAACAATAAGCATTTTAATACATTTTTAATAAAAAAAAAATGCTGACTCTTGTTTTATATTTAATACTTATTTATGCTTTTGGACACACTCACTCAGAGGAAAGCTTAATTCGTTCCATGAACATTTAAACAAAAATGTTATCCTTGTGTTATCAGTGATGATACACATACATTGGGCTATAAAGATAATCAAAACTTAGTCTTAATTTCTGCAAGAAGACATGATTTAATAAGGGGTGATAAACATTCAGTCATTCTGTCAGCCTCAGTCAAGATGAATAAAGCCTTGGGGTGGAAAAGAAGCTGGTAGCACTAATGATGCAGAAAACAGCAAACAGCAATTCAGGCTCTAGAGAGATGCAAGACTGCCATCCCATGGCCAAAGAGTGAACAGAAGTTTTCCCTCATAAGGCTCAATGTGCAGACAGTAGGAAATGGCACAAACACTAAAATAGGAGTTATTCTCTGTCCATTGCATTTATTTTATAGGTCGAGCGCAATTCCATAGAGCCGGTTTCTCTCTCTGTATAATGAAGGACTGTGATGGTGCTTTATCACTTGAACATCTTCATCCCCAACATTAGCTCAGATATAATGAGGGTTATTCAGAGGACGGGGGCCCTCTCCACAGAATGATAAAAGACCCGAGAGTGTGTCTGTGACATGGCATCGGTCATTAGCCTGCCTCACTTTGCCCTTTCATGTATTTCTAAATAAGTGCCTTCCTGTGGGTTTAACAGACCACCTAATCTGCCTACTTAGAGGTGCGGGCGAGGAGTGGGAGCCCAGAGAGGTGAATTTCAGGCAGGTAAATGTGCTTATCTGCGCAGTGACATGTTTAGCCTCTCTGGTGGAAGTTCTGCCACAGGCTTCCAACCCCCGGCAGGTTTCACTGGTGATATAAATTATGGTGAGGTGGGGGGAGGCATTAGTGTATTTATGTGAAGTATCCTGTGAAAGTGGAGCAGTGGCTTTCATAGATGTTACAGCTTTAAATCCCCACAGTAACTCTCTCTGTGCCTTTTTCTTTTAAAGGTTAATGCTGATTTGAGAATTCCCCCGGCATTGGCCTGTCTGATCAATACTTGTAAATACACAGTTCTCGCACCAAGACTGGAGAGGAAGTCTTATCTCTGTTGCCATAAAGAATAAAAGACCGGATTTACAATGGGGGATTGATTTGAGGACAGGTGGTGATATTAAAGTGTTGGCAACCAAAATTAACTTGATGCAAAAAAAATAAATAAAAGATGCTGGAAAAGATTAAGTGAACTTTCAGAGAATGTAAAAAATAACACACAAAATCAATTAAAATCCCTTAAGAGTTGCTTTTGAATGAAGCAAAACAAAGTCAGAAAAAAAAAAAACTTGCTTTCAGGCAGATTTGTAAACAGCCCCGAAAGAATAATAACAGCAGGAATTTGTTTGATGATTTTCAGATCACTCTTATTTTTTTTTATCATGAAGAGTGCTGCAGACTCAAATAATGCATTTAAAGTCAAGTAAATTCAGATTACTCCAAATTTAACTCCAAAGAAGTTGCAATCAGATTATGGGTCAAACATTTCGATTTATGTAACAACAAGGAAACATGTTCTTATCCTTCACTATTTTAAAAATGTCATGATAGTGAGTCTTTGCCAGGCGATGTAGTCAACCCCTTTTTCACACTGTGAAATGAGCTTCACTGACCTAGACGCTCCCTGGGCTTCGAAAATGTGAGCCCTTGTTTCGGCTGATCTTATACCAGTCTGCCATGTGACAGAAGGTTGTGAGGTTAACAGAAAGGCTGGTAAAACATCATTGTCACCAATCAGGAAAACAAGCCCCAGGCTCCCAACCTGACTTGGGAAACCATATGATGTAAGTTACTGGTCCAAAGAAGATAAGGAACGACAGCAGTGACATTTGTCCTTTAGGGTTAATGTAAGTGTATGAGAACATTGTATTGGCTGGCGAAAGTATTGAACATTTTTCACATTTTGTTACTTTACAGCCACAAACTTCCAAGGCCTTTTCTTTGGATTTTATGTAATAGACCAAGACAAAATAAAGCACAGTTGCAAAGAGGAAAATATCCTATGGATGGAAGACATTTGTATTCAGATCCCTTTACTCTTATAAACCTAAATCCAAAGGCATTGATTAGATTTATACTTTATCTAAACAGCAAATAAAGTCAAACTCACTTTGTAGAAACAACTTTTGCAGGAATTAGCTGCAGGTCTTTCGGGATATGTCGGAACTAGATTTCAACATCAAGAAACAAACATTTGGTGATTATTTTTTGCAAAACAGTTCAAAATTTATAACATTTCTGAAAAAACAGCTTTGGCAACTTGCTACAGATTCTCATCTACATTGTGGACTGACTAATCTATCCTAGCATAAGATACTTTGATCCAACCTGTTCCATCACAGCTCTGGTTGTATGTTTACTGTTGCTACTGAAGGTGACCCTTCTCTCAAGTCTCAACTGTTTTGCAGACGAACAGCCTTTCAGCTTCTCATTCTCGAATGGGGAAAAGTATCAACACTCACCACCATCAGATTGTGGTGTAACTTTACAGCTGTGCAAAAACTAGATGTGAGCATCACTAATAACCATCCAGTAGACTGATTCGTCCAACTGGGATGCAAATCTCTGCGGCTCTTAAAACTCTGTGACCATTTTTATTTGTAAGTTTGAAATTGTACCGTACCGTTTCCATTTTGGATAAGTTATTAAACAGTGCTCTCTGAAAAATTATGAGCTGGTGATACTGTTGTATAACCTAACTTATTTGTTGTCCTCATTAGTTTTCATCATGCCAAATTGTCAATGTTTCCTGAGCTAAAATTGCACACACGTGAGCTCTGTTAATGTTAATTAGCCGACTTCTGAAGGAAATAAGTTCAAATTAATTTTATTTAGTAAAAGAATAAATGCAGTCACCTAATAGAAGATTTTTTTTTTTTTTTTTTAAGTTTTGCGATTACTTTTTTGATAGAATTTTAAATACATACACCCACCAGGAGAGGATGATATAGAACACCAAGCTTGATGGTGGTAAATTACTTCATTTAAGTATTGCTCTCATGAATCAGCCATGGTTAAAACCTAAAACTGGTTTTAAATTATAAAAACATAAGGGTCAAGAATAAAGAAAAGAAACATTTATTTTGAAACTTTCATGCTGCAAAGAGACTGAAACATGTTCACAGTAAAATGCATAAAACAAAGAAAGCATGTTACAAAGAATGGCTTAGGCAGTGATAGAAACATCTCACTCACCACAGCACTTAAACAAGAGTTAAGATGCAAAGCTTTTACTATACACAGTAAGGTAGTATAGTTCAGACAAATTGGTCTGTTAGCGTACATACATAGTGTACAAACATGGTTCGATTTGCAGTTTGGTTGGCACAAACTATTTAAAAGTCTCCACTGTGAACGAAACCCCCTTCCTATGAATTGGCAATGAAATGCATGTTATTAAAATGTAAAGAACCAATGATTTCCTGTAATTAAATTATTGACCACAACACAAGCATGTCATCATTGAAGATAGTCATCAAAATGCCAGAACATTGACATTCCTTTAAAAGAAACAAGAAGTATAAATCTGCACTACTAGAAAGGTCGGAGTATATGAATGCTTTCTTCTATTTGTGATAAAACTAGCAAATATATTGCATGATATCTGCACAAAGAATTAATGAGTCTCTCACTCTCCAAAATTCTGCAGCTTTTCACCTGCAGAATTAAAATAATTTCTCTGATTGACGTTTTGTAATCCTTCCAGAGCAAGAAAGAAGAAAGGAATATGAAATAACCCTGTTTGGCCACAAATTCTCTAATTGGATTCCACTACCTTGAGAATCATCTGTGGGCACAAAAGTCACAAAGTCTTGGGGAAAGATAAAGCTTACGCACTAGGAAGAAAAAAAACAAATAATAATAATTTGAAATGTTTATCAATTCAAAGCAGCCAAGTTGAAAGGATACCTCTGAACAGACCAAATGGATGAGACCTTTGCAGTAACTTTACTGGCAGTAAATGTCATCATTAATGGACAAACATGACAAACAGCAGCATTATAGTTCCTACAGTTTGATGAATACAGAAACAAGAGGTCTGCATGATAAGGTTAAGAGTGGCTTTGGAAATTTGACGCGTTTACTGAAATTCAAAGGCATTTTTCAGCATTAAACAGTGGAGAAATTCTTGAGCAGCATAGTTAGTGTCACTGGCAGTTTGGTCATTAGCTTAGTGTGAGCCATCAAGCACTGCAGTTTAAGTCACAGTAACAACAGTGGTCATCTTCCAGTTTTAGTACATAAAATTGGCAACAAAGTGGTTGAGATTGTTGTAGACTAATCTATCACAAGCCATTACAAAAATAATTATCAATTTCCCATTTAAATGACAATGAAAGACATCTGTTTTGTTCCCCGGCAATACAGATGTGTGTCGTGGCATATGTTCAGGTCCATGAAGAGCTCAAAGTAAACAGCATCTTTCTTTGAAACTCTTCTTACTCTTCTTGTTCTTTCCTTTTCCATTTTTGTCCTTGTTTTCAGTCATTTTCTTGCCACGCACTTCACGCATCAGGTCAAAGAATACCTGGAAAGAAAATGAGTAGCTACTTCACATGTTTGGGAGTCAGGTAAAAATCAAACAAGTAAATTTGAGTTAATGTTAAAATTCAGCATTGCACAGAATAAACAAGTTAGATACGAGTGGTTACTGTTAGCAAGTTGCACCAAGATTTTACAAATTTATGGTTTCATAATCACCAAATTTTTCATCAGAGAGTGAATGGAGTCATCATTGGTCATGAAGCAAGCTTCACTGACAGAAAAAAAATATTTAGCTGTTTGTAAACATTTTCATTAAAATGTTAATGTTTATTAATTAATTCATGTATATTTTATTTTTTAAAGTAAAAAAAAACACATACTTAATCTAGTTTAGAACCTACATTTGTAAATAATTATTATATTTGTACATGTTGTTTTTTATATGTTTTACCACTTTTTGAAATTTAGGACCAGATTCAGAAACAAGATGCAAGAAACTGTTATTTTTGTCAATTGTTGGTAGAAATAGATATTTTTGAAAGAATCAAGTTGGAAGCATGAAACAGCAGTTTCTTCGAATATTTTTGGTTTCGAAATTTAAAGGCAGTGACAAAGAGCCTCACTCATGTACTCAGCTAAAATAACAATTATAAAATGGAAAGCCAATTTAAAAATTCTGTTATAAAATGGCTTTATAACAGAATTATACATTTCTGTTACAAACTACAAATATCTGGTTTGCCGGCCGAATGCAGAACCTGTTAATAGGGAGTCCAGGGTCTGCAAACCAGGTATTTGTGGCCTCCAAGTTATGATTTTATTAATTTTTTTTTAAATAAAGACCAAGGTGGAGTGAAATTGTGTGTTCCGTTTCCCTTATCGTAAGACAACTAATGTCAGCCATATAACAAAGCAAGCAGGATAGTCATCGCCATGTCAACCTGTCACTCTGTCATTACTGCTGCAACACCTGAGGCATGTTTTTACTTTCTCTGTGGGACCGCTTTTCTAGTTGAAACCTCCCAGCAGTGAAAAGAGCACATTCCAAATTTGAAGTGAAAGGAAAATGGACTGTATTTTTTGCATTCATACTCCCGCCAACCAACACAACTGTGATGTGCTTAATTTACCAAGAGACCGTTGGTATGACAAAGCATCTGAGAGCAAGGAGAGGCATTTTGAAGAGACATTTTCTCAAAATTTTGAGTAAAGAAAAGGAAGAAAAATTGCTCGATGACCATTTTATCAAGCTGCAAGTAGATTTCTTATTCCATCCATGACACAAAACAACACAATCCAACAGTATATTCACTCTTAGTGGAACAGATTTTGAAACAGATCTTTATTTCTTTGTTTACCAACAAATTCTGTGGAGGAGTGGATTCTTTCTGTTAAATTGAAAGGGAGTTGCAACTTTATATTAGCACTTATTTTATTTCTTTTTAATTTACGAGATTCTTGAATTATTGTATGTCGTATGTATGGACTGACTATAAAACCTCTGACTATGAAAAATTTTATTTTGGTCCTTTGAGATTTGTATTTATATAACTCTAGTTTAGGTAAATTATGCATAATAAGTAGCTGACAACAGTCTGGCTACCGGAGCAGGCTGTGTTGTTTCCTAACCAGTTAAAATCAATGCTGTTGATTATGACCAATTATTTATAGCATAACTTCACCACGTACACCTATAATTTTAGCCTTTTTCTGTTCAGTAATGCAGTGAGTGAGCATTGGCACCTTATCCACGTTGGCTCTAGTTTTGGCAGACGTCTCTACATACTGGACCCCCCACTCCTCAGCCTTCCCGCGCGCCTCATCACCAGACACCTGCCGACGATCCTCCAGATCTGACTTGTTGCCAACCAGCAGGAGAGGGATCTTGTCCTCCTCCGCCTTCACTCGCAGGATCTGCTCCCTGCAAGCACAAAACAAAAACCTAATAAGCAAGTGCAAGGGTAGTCAAATACTGTTTTTGTACTACACAAATAATGGGTACAATTCTTAAACTAACATTTACCAGGAGCATCATTGTTTTTGTAATATAAGGGGTTACTTTCTTCCCGGCAAAAAAAATCCATGTTGCACTGCATGTAACAATTTTGTTGCATTTTTTGGATCAGATTCAAGCAAATCTTTTTGTCAATTCCTCAAAACTGACACTAAAAAAAGCTATTAATTTAATCCTAAACTGAATTTGTCTAAAACAATAACATGATCAAGGAGTAGAAAAAATGTAACTGAATCATTTCAGCAATCACAGTCATTACCAATATAGCAACATGTAATCTAATTTACATGTCATCAAAGTCGCGGACCCTCAACAGATGCCACATTTACGTGCTTGCCTCACTGCATCATTACCTGAACTCATCAGTGGCACTGAAGGACTCGTGCTCTGTGATGGAGAAAACCAGCAGGAAGCCCTCCCCGCTGCGAAAATAATTATCCCTGATAGCAGCATAGTCCTCCTGGCCAGCTGTGTCCAGGATGTCAATCTGGACTTCCTCCCCGTCCAGCACTACCTTCTTCCTGTAGCTATCGGCCTTAGTGGGTTCGTAGTCTTCGACAAACTGAGAAGAACATAAATACAATTTATTTTCTTGTGTTTTGAAGACTGTTTGCGTGTTTACACAAGGATGCAGAACACCAGATTGAAACAACTTCTCAACTTTTTCACATGATCAAGTTCCAGTCATAAAATGCAAAGTCGTTACTTTGCAGAATCATTGTTACTTCAGTGAGGGTGACTCTACCATCTTTACAAAAGAGGCCATTCATTTTGAAATTTTTACCAAAACAGCTCAATTTGAGACACACTGAATGGAGACCATTTGTGAATAGTGGAATAGTTTCTTACCTGGATGTGTGTCTGGGCCATTAAACCAACCTTAAATGTACAGCAAATGTTTCTAATTTTTCCAATTCACTTCAACAGAACAGAGATTTAGGGTTTTAGGTGGGCCAAAGTTTGATTGTGTATCTCTAAATGAACTGGACTTTCTGGGCAAACAAATTGGTGTGAATGCACCTTCCCTTTCACTTGACAATTGCACACAACAAACTGCATTAAATTACAAAGAAGTTTGTGGTTGTAAGGAGTAAATAGATCATATGATTTAAAAGAAAGCTTGAGCTACTGGTCTTCTTGGTGTTTATAGCCTCTCCTACGTAGTCGTTTTGGGAGCCCTCAGCTCATTTTAACAGATTTTCCCAGGAGACCAATTAAACAAATGAACGATGGTTAACTGATAAGATAGGAGTTTGCAGGTAGACCAGGTGTGTGTAGTATCAACTCACCTCATCATACATGAATTGCAGCGTGAGGGCAGACTTCCCAACACCTCCACTTCCCACCATTATCACCTTGTGCAGTGCCAGAGAACTCTGGTTTTTACCTTTATTGGCAGCCATCACTGGATTTTTCTTCAAGTCCTCACACACTCAAACACATGCGCACACCCACACACGCAGTCACACACACATGCACACACCCGCCCACGACCTGTGAATGACAAGAGAGGAAACTTAGCAGTGTGTACAGTGCATAACATCAATAAGGAGGGAACATGGGAGAAACGGATGGGCAGATGGCAGTTGTTACTTAACAGATAGCAGCGCTCTGTGCCAAGACTCTAGGCTGAGTTCCAACAAATCTTGAATCTTAACACCCACCGCCCCCTTTAAAGTGCCAAATTGCCTACTCATGAATCCGAGAACTTTATAAAGTTGCCCATCAAAAGGTCATTGCAACTGATCAGGAGTAATGAAGCCATCACTCTCCATAGCAAGGCTGAATTTACGAAAGCATTAAAACAGAGCATCATGTGCTAGAGCCATTAAAAATGAAAAAAAAAGAAGAACTGACTGACCATCTATCTGCTTTACAAGGGCCCTGCCCTGAGTAGGTGAAAGCTCAGAGTCAATTGCTTTTTGCCTGCTTCTGTATCTCCCTGTCAGATATAACTTTTAAACAGAGTGCTAACTGACTCCACCACAGATCCCTTAAATGTCTCATCTGAGCTTCCATTAAAATGGAAATTATTTCAAGTGTCGTATGCGCTGAGAGCTAAAAACCAACCTTCTACTGTCAATATTTCTGCAGTTATTTAAAACTGTGATTATGTCCGCATTACTGTCACATTACAGCTGGATAAAACACACTCTTCACATCATTTCTTTAGCAACTAGAAGTCCAATCATTTCTCGTGTGCTTTAACCTTCATTTCCTGCTGAGTTTGTTTGCCAAGTGCAGTTGCTGTTTTGACAGCCTTAAAAGCCAACAAAAATATTTATCTTACTTTAGTCCTTTAACGTGATGCAGTCATTTTCTTTAATTTAGGTTGAAAAAATAAACAAATGGAAAGAAAAATTCACCTCACAAGATGAGACAAAAATATACTGAATTTATCTCAAGTAATTTAGGTTTTTGTTGTTTTCACAGACTAAACATTTTACAGACTACAAACTTTTAAAGAATCCATATACCATTATAATATTCCAGTTCTGCTTTCGCTTCACGTTCTTTTTATGCTTCTTTTAATCTATTGTCAAAATAACAAAAGAAGCACTGAAAATTTGAGATGCATTCATCAGAATGCAACAGCTCTATGTGAGAGCATCAACTGTTAACACAAGCTTTCACTAACATTTTCAACTAAACCAAGCTAAGTTGAGTCAACATTTTAAACTACTGGTATCTTCACTGATTTTATTAACAATAAGTATTACTTAATAAAGAAAGCAGTTTCTGTGTGCATGTCCAAAACAGAAAGAGGATTACTTAGTCTGAGATCTTAAAAGCCTGCAGACATATTTAAATCTAGCATTTCAATGACGAATCCGAAAAGCTTAAAAGGACAAAACAGCAACTTTGCAAGACCCCTAGCCTTTCTGTTATCCATTAAAAGTCTTGCTCTCTCTCGCTGCCTCAATGAAAACGTCTTGAAACATAGAAAGTATCGTTTCCCTTCATTGCTTCTTTTGACTTAATTTTAAAAACACCATGCACCATTTTAAAAAATAGTGAATTTTGAATCTTTTTCACTCAGTAACCTACTGAAAACTGTTACCGTTAATGTGGCCTGGTGACGCATACGTATGACCAAGTGTGTCAATGAAAAAGATTCTTTGTTTGAATCTCATGGCCAATCAAATTTGCATATTTCAATCAAGTTTGCCTCTACTCCGAATTGTTTTTATGTTCCAGAATTTGGAAAAATTAAAGGTAAAATTCATCTCAACTATTGTTTAATTTATATGTGTCCAGTTTAAAATAATTTGGTTAACGGTTCAAACTGTACAAGTGTTGTATGTTTTGAAAAACGAAAGCCACTGACTTGAACTAATCTGTTGGCAGAATAAAAATACCAGGAGGAAGAACTCAGAGTAATATTAGTTGCATTTTTAACTACTAAATGCAGCTAATATATTTTATTAACTTATGGAATTTATCTCATCAAAAGGTAAATTACCATACATTGTTCACAGCAAGATGATTTGCTAGCAATAATGTATCAGTGTTTGAGCTCAAGGTTCGCACCTAATAGAAAGTCCTCCTGGGTCTATTGTGCTCTGATAAAAAGCATTCTTCAATCTGTTGTGTGAGCTGATCTAATACAAAGACTTAACACCATCATGTGTTTACCTTGCTCTGGATGGATGCCACTTATGTCATCAATGTCAGAGCATAGAATACCAACTGAGCCATCTAGCAACAATGTATAGTCAAAAGCACAAGTTTAAAACAATACCACAGCATAAAAATCGCTTTGAAAGCAGCTTTAACACAAACACTTCTGTAAGTTGATAATGTTAGACTCTCCTGGTCCCTCCTAATACATTGATTACCTTATCTTTAACATTTTTCTCTCTCTGTCTCTGTAGAGACAGATCCTTCCCTCCTCTCAGGATGTCATGCTAATGGAAGCACTGAGCTGATTCATCGCAGTATTCACTGCTCCTCCCAACAGTAAACATTTCTGCTTGAAACCAGCAGCACTCTATTCGGGAGACAAGACTAAGAAGAGAAACTCTTAAAAAAATACCTTTGAATTTCCACTTAAACTTGTCATTGCAAACAGAAGAAAACAAACCATTAAAAATCAAATGAAAAGATCTGTAAGTAGGCCACATAATATGAAATGCCTGAACATGTTTAACAGATAACAGCATCTGAGGATGTGGCATCATGGTTCCACTTTCCCTAATCAGGGAATAAAGCCTGACCTTTGCTCTTCCTGTCTTTGTTATCCCAAATCAGGCCAGTGGAATAGCTGATATGAAGGATGCCCACACAAACACATTTACACACCTTCTTATGGAACTCAGCAGAATTCAGCGTTTATGTATACGGGTCGCCATTTTAATTATTCACATGTAACCCAGTTCCCTGTGCACAAGCACAGATGGAAAAACTAGGTAGGAATTAACATTAAACTGAACGTAATAAACTAATTTAACCAAAACCTTTAACATTACAGCAACACGGTCTCAGAAATGCTCAAAGTCAAGATAAACCAGCATTCTGGTAAGTCTCACATGTTTGGTACAAGCCCTTTAAAGAGGATCAGGGGTTGTGAAAAGGGAGGGGTGAAGTGTAACAAACCACTTTGGTTGCTAGGCTTCTGAAAAATAGATGACACCATTGCAATGTGGACAGCAGATATTTATTAGAAAGCCCTTCTGAGAACCACCCAATCTTCACCAGCTGTTTATTTTAAGACATGGTTGAAACTAAAACAACTTTTTTCCAGGATTCAGCATAGAAATGCCTACAAGCAAATTTTGCACTAACTGAAAAATTGACTTGTCCACCACTTAACCAAAAGTGTTTCTTGGTTATTTATTTGGTCATTTAAAGCATGGGTGCACCAATTGCAGTTTTCTGGCTGATTCTAATTGTTTTCTCTGAAATGCTGCTAAAAATAGCAAGAAAGGTGCTGAGTTGGCACCAGTGGGGTCACTATTGTTTACTGTGAATATGCAGACATTATCTTTTGGGAGGGTTAGTCAAACATCTCTCATGGCAGAGTAACGGAGGACAGTGGCTGATTTTTAGACTTTTGCCGGTGTAGATACGATCTGTGGATAAAATCAGCTTCAAATTTAAGTATCAGTCAATCAAAATCTCCCAATATTCAGAAAATTATGGTCAAATTATTGGTGCACCTCTAATATGAAGTGAAAATAATCACCTAACTTTGAAAACAAGTTGGATAGCATTTGTTGCACATAAGCATTCCTGCCTGTATATTGGTATGGTCAAAGGATATCCACCATATTGTTTTACAGGTAATGACTTTAACCATATAATTTATGTACAGTAGCTTGGTCTCACACAAGTGCTGCATTATTATCTTGCAAGATTGATGAGAGTTGCAAACAGCTTATAATATTATGGTTAAGTCAATTATATACAAGACTACAAATACTTTTTAGTAGGTAAGGGCAGTAGAAGACTTATTTCTCACAAAACCATTTTTTACATGATTACTGCTACAAACTATGTAGTCACAAAACAGACTTATTTCTGGTATCCAACTTTGCCTTGAATCTCAACAAATTAAGTCACATTCATGGTTATTGTGTCTGTGTTATGTATGCATTGATGTATTAAATAGACAGACATCTCAACCTCATTTGATTTCTTCTGTCCATCTACTTAACCTTCAAACTGAAGTGTGTGATAAGATCTCTGCTCATCTCACCCTCAAAGATGGAAAACTAAATTAATCTCAACACTGAAAACGTACCAAGTAAGCGGACATATTTAATTACTAATTGGAGCAGAAAGTTTATGTTTATATCTCAATTATATATATTTTTTTTCCCCAGAGAACTACTTTGCTCTCCTTCATGTTTGCATGAAGGAGAAGCATTACTCTTGTTGCATCTATAAACCAAACAGCAAATCATCTTTTTAATGTTTTGTCTTTATTTGCTACAAGTCTCAAAATTAACTCCAGGAACTGAAGGATAGACCTGGCTCTCAGCTTGCTGTGCCAAAACAATAACCTGACAGAGTCACAGTAATGAGGGGAGAGTAAAAATGGGCAAGACGTTCTGTGACCCAAGACCAGGTTTCAAGACTACAACTTCTTTATCACAGTGCAACAAACAATGCGGAACGGAAGTGTGAAGCCCTGCAGGTGGCTTTGCAGAAGTGTGCTTGGTTCTTCATTTGTAGTAGTTATAACAGTCACCGTGTGTGGATATAGGGAAATGATTTACTATACTTAAAAAGACGGCTACAGCAGATAGGAGCCCATTTTCACCCTACAATGCATACTAACAAGTAATTGCCTGTGGAAGTGTACAGAGAAGCCTTTGACAAAACTGGGCAACTGAGAACTTAAATCCTCCCCATGTTAGAATCCTCTCCACTGCAGCAATACTAAGTTGGTTCCTTTTCTTTTTCAAACCAATCTCTACTTAAAACACTTTCTGTTTTATTCAATATGAAAATATCTTCCAGGTAAAAATGAGGTTATGTCTAAGCTGTTCCCAATAAAACAAACTTGTCTTTTCTTGGGATGAAACAATTGGATTAATCGTGATCAACCAATTGATGATATATTTGTCAACTAATTTGGGAATCAATTAATTAAATGGAGTTAAATGTTTATTTTCTTATTTAAAAATAAATGTAACTATTTTATTTGCAAGTGATGCTTTGGTAGCTTTTTGCAGAGTATAATATTTGCAGCGACATGTAACAAACAAAAAGTCCACAAAAGCTTCTTTGAACAGCTGAGCTTCATTTGGAAGTTTTTTTCTTAGAAAACTTTAAGGTAAATGCAGTAGTGTACTGTCCCGTATTTAACATGATCTTGAATTTGGTGGTCTTTTCGGAAGACACCCATCTCAGTTCATCATTTGAGTTTTACCATCTCCTTAAGGCTAAGTTACATACCACCACCTATGCATAGGGATGACACCTATGGCTATAGTTCCACAAAGTAATTGTATTTGTGTCCTTGTCCCAGAAAAGAAGCATAAAAAAGGAAAAATGATTTATTGACTAGAAGTATGTCTAACTCATTTACAGTAAGTGGCCACGTCTTCCCCTTCAAGGTCAGTTTTATTGGGTTGTTTTCTGACCAACCTAAAACAGGAAGGTCATCCTGTTATGCAGGTGAGCATTAGATGGTTGATCAGCTTTAATAATCTTTAATATTTTATACATGCTCCATGTATGATTTTGTATTTTACAGATAAAATAAATATTCTATTTTATTTTATGGATCTTTCTGTGTAAAGCCAAATTATTTAATGGGAAGTCAAAGTCTGTTGCTCTCACAGCACCGTAAATTTGGATCCAAATAAATGTACGTAATAAATTACATTTCCCACATTAATTCCTGAATTTAATTCAAAATTCATGTATTATTACATGTTAAGTTGAACTAAGAGTCTAGAAATATTTTAAAAGGTAAATTCTAGCAGTACTAGTATAAATGTATTGCTTTACATTATTTCAAAAGAAGACAAAAATTTTACTGAAAGGTTAATTCAGTAAAACTGGAATCATTTTTCCACTTTAAATTAAAAATATATATATATATAAACAAAGAATGATCACAATGGCAACCAGTATAGGGTAATTCATCATTCTTGTTTAAAAATAACATTGTCTCAAGTTAACAGCCTTAATTTTATGCTGTTTAATGCCTTCTCCACTCTTCATTTTGCCACTTTTATACAGATATAGATGTTTGAAATTGAAGGTTTGACAATGGATGAGACCACTTCAATCACTTCGAGCCGTCTGCTTTCAGATTCCCCAAAGAAAGGCATTTCAATTTCAATGTTTTTAAATTAAATTAGAGGATTATAAGTCAGTAAAGTGCTCTGAATGTTAATAAAACAAAGAGTGATTTGCACTCATTAGCCAGGGAATCAGATTGTTGTGTAAATTCATACTTCTTTTTCTGGCTTGAGCATTTACATAAATGCACACGCCATCAGATTTGTGAGTAAAGACAACCCACTCACTTTTGGTCAGTGAAACAGTGGCCTTGATAATAGTGTATTCAGAGAGTGAGAGACTGAGGAAAGACGAGGTTGTGATCTAAGAGACTCCATATGTCCCTACATTGATGAGAGCTCTAAAATTGGAAACTGTCCTGCTGCTAATTAGGATGCAATTAACACAATTACAAGAAAATATTTAAAATTCAAGAAAAACTGCATATGAACCATGGAAGAAAAAAATAGACTAAATTCTGTGAAAGTAGATCTAAAAATTCTGACACCAGCAGAAGTTTCCATCACGCTGAAATAAAGCTTCATTTCAAAAGCCAAACAATTGTCACAGGTAGCGTCTGTCACAGCTCGGTAAACATGGTCACCAGCAGCAGCTGCCAGCACTGAGTTGGAGAGAATTTCCGAATGTAAATAATATAACATTTTTTAAAAAGGGCTGAACATTTTTACAAATGTACATTTGCATAACTTGTTCCTCTTCCTCAGGGGAAACAGGATGCTCTGCTGTGTATTGCTAGTTCCTTATATCCCCATCTACTTTCATCAAAAATGAGCTGGAGCTAAACCTAACAATGTATCAGCTGAGCATCAGAACCAACATAATTCAAGTCTCATTTAGTCACTCACTCAATCATATTAAATGCAAAGGTAATTAGTAATTTGTCTGTGTTTTTATTGAATTTCAGCATAAAATATTAACAGAATAACAATGCAATTAATATATGAAATCATAGCAACGTAGTTTTTGAACTACAAAAGTGACTGTGTGGAATGTGGTATTTGTTAACTGTTATATGCCAGGTCTGTCAGGTGTATGAAAAAAAAAATTGTGTCAGTAATTATCTGCTTCTAAATATCTTTATTATACACACTGTGGTGACAACAAGTGACACACTGCTGTTCAACTCACCAGTGCTTTCAGTGACAATACATAGTGTTTACTGCATTTTTTTGACCTACAAATTGCACAGCAGGCAGATGGAAAATAATATGAAAACAGCAAAGCTATGTGTTATTTGTGGACAAACAAGAGGCTTCACTTTAATATAAACTGTAGGTGTGTCTCTGTGCCTCATATAGTTTTGGTTAAAATATGTCTGGTCTTCACTCTCTGAAATTACTCACACTAAATAGGGTATCCAAAAATTTTACTCAAGTAAGAGGACCGACAAGTAAAAGTATAAAGGACAGTGTATTAAAATTACAGCATTTTTTTTCTCCCAAAAAGTTACTTAAGTAATTGTCATTCGTTACTATCCACCTCAGAAAGTTGGAGATGGTGAGGTTTGGATATGAGCCATCCTGACTGACTGAAGAGAAGTGACGGGGGAAAAATGTCTATCATGATCTGACAAGTTACAAAGTAAAACAAAGACAGTAAACAGATGGCTACCAAACCAAGTTTTATGAACATAGTGGCTGAAACAGAAATCTTTTAAAACTATTTAGCCATTTTTGAAAGGCTTATGTGCATGTGTGTTAATTTATACTTTGAAATTCCTATGCAATGTTTTTAAATTACGCAAAAAAGTCCTAGACTAAAACATAGGCACTTTTATGCAATCAAAAAAAAGTTTGTTATCTGACAGATCCATCATGTTTCGTTGCTGAGTAAGCACTGTGTTAGAAGTAACATTTGAATCAAATCACGCACAAAAAAAAAATGAGTAAAACCCTCAAATGCTGTTTGTTGTGAGAAGAAAAAAGATCCAACAGTCTGCACTAGCTTCTTAAAAGCAGGCCAAAGCCCCACAAGACTGCCAAGCAATTCTTAAGCTGGTTTCCCTGAAAATGCTGCAAATGTGCTGGGCTCAGCATTCTGTTCACGAGTTGTTTATGGGGGGGAGAGGATGACTGCATATTTCATTTCAAAGCAGATCCTAAAACAACAAGTTCATGCAGCCAGTTATCTGGAAAAGGAAACACACATTTCACTTCCCCTGCTACCTCAGTGGACCTGTCATTAATATGGAGATTGAAGCCTGGTGCTTTGCTAACACCGTCCTATACGCCCCTCTTTCTTATTCCCAAACAGACTCGTTAAAACCAACCCGCATCTAGACATTACACTGTTTATATATAAACTATCATCTGGCAACTGACCGAACTGGCTTCCTGCATCCTTTTAAGAAACGTAAAACCTGAAGACCAAATAGAAACGGATTTACAACATCAGCAGAAGAGCACATGAGCTAGTTTGGGTGTGTCTTCTTAGTGGCAAAACTTTACAGCAGTGACAGTTATTACCAAGGTGCTTATTCAAACACTTAATGATGGGAGATAGTACTGATGGAAGAGGAACTCACAAGTTTGTTCATATAAAAAAAGAGTAATTCACCCGCTCAGTGGCAAATACCGTCATTGTTAAAGACAAATAAACAGGAGTTCAAAACCACAGCGCAATGAAGTAAACGTAAACGTTTATTCGAAGTATTTTTTACAAGTCAGGAAAAGAAAATTTAGTGCTAACAGATCGAGAGAAACGTCCAAATTAGTTATGCTAGCGTAAACTCAATCGATGGTTCTGGTATTATTCTACTATTAATCGGGTTTTCTATTTAGAAAATAGTTTAACAACCACCACCAGGTGACAATTTTATCACATTGATCTGGTGACCTCAAGTTTTTAAACACCCATTTTCCGTTAAACGCTGAGCACTTTGCCTCCAGCAGTCACTCGCTCTGCCCTTAAAAACGTATGGTAACGTGATTTCAAGAGCCAATAAGCACATAACGATACAACTACTTTACCGAAATAAGAAGCTTCAGACTCCTTACCGAAGCGTAGTTCCAATGACTGCCCTGGGTTGATGCTATCTCGCTGTCTGCTTTTCCAGCGCAGACGGACGCATTGGCTCTCCGAATACAAACCGCTCCCGTAACAAAAAGCCCCACCTTACGGAAGTAAAAAACAACAGATGACAGGAAGTGACGCATCTGCCCTCGCTCCACTTAAAGAACCCGGTTTGTGGTTTTTGTATCGTATAAAAAAACATGTAAGCAAAATTGTTAGAACTTAAATAGTTGTGTGGGACTGTGAGAAACAAAAACATCGTTCAACCACTTTGCAGAAAATAAATTAACAAAACACAACCAGAAAACAGATGTGGGTTTTAAATCTTGTTCTGAAAGGCTTTTTCTCCCCAATTTCACAATGGAAAAACAACTAACTATTCAAAATTGTACCATGTAACAAGGGTAAAAAGTAAAATATCCAAAAATTACTGCAATATTGTATAAAACTAAAGACACGATACAGCAGTAGAAGTTCCCTTTCAAAGAAAGCCAGTTCATCACAACTTTGACAAACAGAGACCAACAATACCTGCAAACACTTCTAAGTTCTGCTCAGACCCATTAATCAAATTTATGAATATGAGAGCATGTGTAATACTTGGTCCATACTGAATCCAGACAAAACAGCATGCAATGGCAAGACTTACATCAGATACTTTATTAATCTTATAAACATTTTAGCACTATGACACTTTTATGCAACTATTTCATCATGGCCCTTTTAATCCTACCAATCTTATAAAATAAATAAAATGTGAAAAATTCTAAACTTGCTATTCATTGAATTTTTACTTTTACATTTAAGGATAGAAAAAAGCTTCCAGAAATTGCAACAAAACTTGTACTTTTGGAGAAGACAATAAAGTTGTCGTGTTTTAGCTTTATGTGCACTCAAAACTCACTGAAGCAATAAAATCCTAACTTTATGACTGTACTTTGATCTTTAGATAAAGATGACCACATTAGGACAATAGCCTTGTTTTTTTATAAGAATCTAAAAACTTATAAACGTTATTATAAATTTTTAAGCTGTGTTAAAATCAAGCTTTAAAAGAGCTGCGATAGCCAGAAAAGATATTATTCCATTTAACATAATCTGAATTGCAAGATCTCATGGGTTTTAAATTTAGATTGTTTGAGACCATTAATAAAGCAGCTGATGACAGAGTAGATTCTGTAATTTACAATGAGATTTTTTATTGCAAAGCTACAACAGGGCATTCTGGATCTTAGAGCTTAAAAGGAACCGAGAGACATAACCTGTCTAAATATTATGAGTTCTAACAGAAAACAATAAAAAGACGCAAGTCCCATTGTTTGTTAACTTTAACCTTTTGTTACAATACAACTGCACACCTCAAGCATTTTATTTGGATTAATGTAATAGAATTACAGAGTAGGGCAAATTTATGCAGTTTATTTTTTTTTTACAAATAAAAATCTTGAAAATGTGACGTATCCTGTGTGATGAGGTGCAGCAACATCATAGGTATAAAATGTAAAAATATCTGTTATAATACAACACTTGACATGAATGCAATTTACACATAGATTATTGACCTGATGACTGACCACATTCACTCTCCATTGTCAATTTATTAGTCTTATCTTGATTTATGAAGCATTACAAGCCTGCAATTGCAAATATTTTATCGATGTCTTCATTGCTATCTGGGTTATTAATCTGTAATGCTCTCTCACTTGAAGCCTTGCTTTTTTCAACATCTTTAAAATACACAACTGGCCCAGAGTCTTTTTGCTGTCCAAGCAGTATTGTCCTCTTAAAACTCATCCTGGCTCTAGATAACATATATCTTTTCCAGAGTGATTCAGAATGACTTCTTCGGGCAGTGATCCTCTTCGTTACAGCCGGAGAACGAAAAGTCCTCATTGCTGATCCCTGGGGTGATACAGCCTGGCACACTTCTCGTCTGAAAATCCGAAGCTTCCGCTGAACACTGAGTAAAAGGGCAAATAATGAGAGCAGTTAGCATTCAAAATGTGTCAAAGAAGTTGAAAGTCATGGCTGAACAATTTTATGTTTTATTCATCTTACTTCTGTCCTGCTGCTTCGAGACACTTCATTTTTTGGCACTTTAATCGCAGGAATGTAAGGAGACGTTTTGTCCTCTTCATTCTTTCAGATCTGCACCACTGAATTATCTCCTCCAGATTGGCAGCCAGGATTGTAAATGTAGTAGCTTCACTCACTTGTTTCTTGAACTCTTGTTTCTTGACTTTGTTGCTCAATTTTGAGACAGTCTTACCCTTTGAGAACAAAATGAGATAATAAGGTAAATAAAGATAAAAACAGCGCCCGCCACTGGTAAAGATGTGCTGCAAAGCTTTAAATAAATGTATCTAAGTTGCATAAGCAAAAAAATTGGTCAGTCAGCTCACTGTGTTGTGTTAAGATAAACATGGGTTCTACTGCAACTTAATTTTTTACAGTTCCAATTCATATTTATTTTTTTGTTGTTACTTTGACTGGGGAGACTGGAAAGTTTAAATAAAAAGCTAATTTCTGACTCAAGAAGTAAGAAGTATCCAGACAAAAGGTATTCTCAAGTATTTTTCATTTTAAGAAGTAACTAAGACAATCAACCACATGAATTTTTGCCACAATTTTTGTGTACAAATATAGGGAATTCTTTAATATAAATTAACTAAATTCAATTAAATTAAATTTTCAATTTGGTTAAAGTTGTCTGTGAATAAAAATCAGCTGTATATGGCACATGTTAAAGGAATAAACGTTTTGGTTATCATACAGACCTTGAAGATAAAAGGCTTGTCGTCAACATCGAAACCAACACCTGCAAATAAATTTATGTATAAGAATTGGTTAAGAAGAGCAAAATTTTGCAAATACCTAATAAATGGAGATAATTGGTTTGTCAAATTGCTTTCTCTGGTCTTGTATAATCAAGTGACTCCATACCTCTTTCAACAGCCATCCCAAGGTCTTCTTTAAAGATAATGCGCTGTTTATTATTTTTAACCTTAGCTGCCTTTGTTGTTTGGTTTTTTGTTTTCTGATTTTTAGGACAAGCGTGAAATGCCGGATGTTTCTTAAGCAGTGAAGTATCAAAGGGACCCAGGAACTCAGTCATATCTGCTGGCAAGACCATGTCGGTGAGGAAGGGCATGGGTTTGGCTTGGGCTACAGCTTTCAGGATTTCCAGGAGCCGCTGGTAAAGATTGCAAAGGCTGACCAGAAAACCACGAAAAAACACCCTGATGAAGCAAAAGAACCAGATCAGTCATTTGATATAAAAAGAGAAAGCATTTCTAAAAGCCCACCCAAACAAAATTATTTTAGTTATAAATCATTATAACTGTTTAAATTGTTCAATGTACAGTACACAGCAGCCTAAATGCCAGGAATGCAGTTTCACAGGAAAAGTCTTTCCCTGCAGCATCAATTAGCTCCAATAAAAATGGCTGACAGAATTGGCAGAAATAGCTTTTATATACTCCTGTTTTGCAGAAATCAATCACAGACCCAAGCACAGTGGAGCAGTGTATGAGCTATAAACTTTACAGCCCCACAGAGGAGACTCTGCGCCAGGAGGTATTTGGATGGCTTCCATTTCAGTCACATTCATCATCAAATTCCTCCACAAGTAATCACCAGTAATGTTTGCTTTCAATCACTGTTGTTACCGTTCATTTACAACATTTACCACTGACTACTTAGTCCAAATCAGAATTCTTGGAGTTATCTTTACCCTAAATGTCTTCCCATTCCTTGGGATTTTAATTCAAGAAGTGGTTAAAATATTCTCCAAAGAAATGGGGCACTTCTTCATGAATCTGAAACATCAATTTTCAGGGAATCGTACAAGTAAGGTTTACTGACTTAATATGGCTGAGTGCTGATTAATTGATAACCGTTTCCTCAACACAGACATCAGGCTACATTACTGTTCAATGCTTGTCAAAGAGGAACCAAACTGTAATGCAGAAAGCACCCTAGTAAAAAACACTTTAAACTTACTGCAAGAACACTTAAATATGTTAAGTAATATATTAAGAATGGTTTTCTTACTATCGCAATACATCAAAAATGCATCACAAAGTTTTTGTTGTATAATTGTTGGTCTAGTGAGAATATACAGTTTTGGAAAAAATAACTTCTGAAAACACGTCCGCTTCCTGAATGAGAAGCATTCAGTTCGTTCAATTCCAACACTAGCAGAAGTAATAGTCATGTGGTCATATTAACACAGTCAGTGCCAAAGACTGGTGGGGAGTATGAAGGGAAGAATAACATTTGAAATCATTTTATTCAAACCAAATATCAATTTCTCAGCTGTATCCAGGGTAAAATATTGGTACTGTTATATAAAAAAAAAAACAAACAAAAAAAAACTTATGAACTTGTTTCTTTTGGATTGTTTTATAATCAATTCAAAAATACCTAATTAATCCCAAAGATAAATTGAATGTTTATTTTCATGTTACCTAACTTCTTAAGATACATAGATGGTAATGGGCAGGAAGGCTCTTCTGGAGGAGTCTGCACTACAGAAAGTCTGTGTATCCATTGACAGAAAAAAAATGACATTTATTATTTTATTTTAATTAGATTGTTTGTTGTGAAACTATGTGTGGAATGTCACACACAGTTTCTAATTTATGGTCAAAGAAACAGGAAAGGCCCCTGAAATTTGAAGGTTTCAACCTTTGACTTCTGAGTCAAAACATTCTAAAAAGTTAATTAAAATAATTTTTTTTGTGCTGCTCTACTTTCCACATCCAATTGCAGCTGGAAATATGAAAAAATAAAGTAGCTACTTACCATAAACGACTCAGCATGCTGGTTAGCACTATATTCAGGATGAGAAACTCCTCCCATTTCATCTGCTGCTTTGCTAATCTGAAAAATGAGTCTGTTAAAGACAAACTAACTCTGACAGAGATGTTCCAAGATGCATCACAAACCCTCTTTTGGTTCTAATAAAAATAGCATTAAAGCGTGATCTAGCAGTGTGAACTGCTAAATAGGATACATGAAAGCTCTGCTGCAGCGAGACAAAGTGCAGCTCAGCAGCTTGCCAGCTCCCAGCACTTTCAGACAGGTCCACTCCAGCATGGGTTGACTCGGAACATCACAGTCACCGTTCTTCTTGCACAATGCCCTAAAACCCATAAAGAAACTGTAATGAGAGATTGTACATGCAGCTGCAACAAGATAAACAAAATGGCTCTGCAGACACTATGGAGTGGGGAGCTCAAAGAATCATGGGATTTTGGCTTTACAATAAAATTACAGCACACGGAGTGTATATTTTATCTTCAATTATCTCTATTTATAATTTTTTTGTAGTGTTCTATTAGGGCAGTACAATTTTGGGGGGAAAAAAATCACAATTAAGCAGTTATAGTAAGAGGATTAGTCATTAATCCCACATTTCTCATGGCTGAAAAAAAAAACAGACAAAGAATTGTAATAACTGCATTGTTTTGTAATTGAAACACATCTGGCTTGTGTGTTAATGACAGCTACATTTACAACAATAATTAGTTCAAACTTACATTTGAATCTGATTGGGACACAGCTCTTTTAGCCCCTGAAGAGCAGCATCAAGCTTCATATTCTTCAGTCTGTTTACACATTGTTCAACCTGTAGGACATAAAAAGAGAAGCTCATGTAGAAATTCAGATTGAGATTGGAAAGTCTTTTATTGTTGCTCGACATTCTGAGACTTGAAAAGAGAAAATGTGACACAATGAAGCATAATGTGGGGTTCTTGCCTGCAGTTCTCACCTGCTGTAAGCCCTTGAAGGTCTTGTTCCCCCTGTAGCTGTTGTTCAGGACGTACATCAGGTCGTATACAAGCCGGATCTCCGTCTGAAGTAGCTTACTGTGAAGAAGCTTCATGACCTCGTCATTTTGCAGCAGCAGGTCTCTGAAAAGTCTAACTGCAAAACATAAAAGGTAGATTGTCAGTGTCCCTGCAAAAGCACGTGGTTGGGGTTAGGCGTATCATTTCCTTTGATGTGTCTTTAAGAGTGGAAACACAACAAGGTGAGACATTTTCTGTTTGGACGGTCAAACCTGTTTTTGGAGCGACTTTCATGCGGACGGTTGAAGTTGCACAGGGATAAGGAATGTTTACCCTGTTCCAAAGCCGTTCCTCTGCCATGCTGCTCTGCTAGAAATGTGCGGAAGTGGAATAGCCAATCGCTTTTCCAACACAGGTGACGTCAGAGTTGGCCTTAAAGGAGTCGCAACACTATTACCCTCCACGGTACGCACCACTAGTATTTTCTTGCCCTAAAATAGACTTGTGTAACAAAATCTAAAAAAGACATTTTATGACTTTGCATTTTCATTGCGAATAGACAACATATCAAAATAATGCATATCTTAAAAATATTTTTTATATTTTATTTGAAATAATTTAATTCATTAACCCATGTACAATAATTTTAGTAATTAGCTACAATAATATATTTGTCTTTTGTTGGTATTTTTCCATTATGCAACTTTGTACAGTTGAGAACTTTAAGTTCTTATATATCTTACATTAAAATGTATTTTCTTCTCCTCATGCACTATTTATTATTACAATATCAGAGAAAAAATGTCTGCTTTGAAAACTACACTGAAAAAGAAATATATCTTAATTCATGATTACATAACACAGCAAGCAGTATCAAGTCATTCATGCAATTACACTGTTATATCTCTTATTTAACAGCACAGTGAAACAAACACCAAATGTTAATTCCTCAATGTTGTTTTGTCCTTAATCCACAGGAGGACTTTTAAGTTCACTTCATCCATTACAGAATCCTCAGACCTTCCTTTCACAGTGAGACCGTGGCTGCCTCCTTGTAGCCAAAAAACTTCAGCCTCAGCTTTCATGTCTTTTAGTAGCTCATTAAAAAGGTCCTGAGGAAGGAAAAAAGAAGAAAAGTCACCACAGTGGCCTGATATGTCATTGAACCTTCAAGCACACAGCTTGGCAAAAAATGATCAAAGAGAGGTAGAGTAAAAAGGAGACTTAACAGAATAATAGATGTTGAAGAAAAAACTGAAAAATCTGTGAAAGCAGTAGAGTAGAAATGGTCAACTGAAATAAGTTGCTCTGCATCCAAGAGGGGCGGTTTATGAGTATTAATAGATAAACTGCTGTCATAAAATATTTTACATTTGGAATATGTGCTCATTGGAAAAACTAAGCCCAGTCTTGCTGCGTCTGTAGAATTTAAAAATTAGATATAGCAGTCAGATAATACTAAAATGCACTTGATTAAGTGATGATCAGCAAAATTATCAACAAATGTGTGTTGACACAATGGCAAGTTGGGAAAAACATCAGGAACAGTCTAAGAGAAATAACTGCAGCTGCCCATGAATTTAGGAAGGATTACAAGGACATGTTGAGACAAGTAGAGGTTCCAAACACAGCAGCAAGTCTTTTTATTATTATTATTTTTGTTGTTTTCCCATATTTTGAGACACAGAACGTCTCAAAATATTTTATTGCATTTTTGACTATGTGTTGACCTGCATATTGAAAAATGAACAACCAAATCTTAAACAGTATGGAGAATGAAGACTTTGCAGTAGAACGGTACAAAATCCAGACTGAAACAGATTGAAATGTTGTGGCACAACATTAAAAAAGGAGAACAAAAGCAAATGTGCAAAAAAAGAAATTTCACAAAGGTAAATCCATTTCCTCATCCAATCCAGAACATTTTCACCCTCACCTGGTTGCACATTGTGTCCTCCGTGCCAGACACAAACAGAACACAAACACCCCCAGGCAACATTTTTAAATCTTCACTCCGCTGATGACGGGTGTACGTCTTTTCTGGTGGGTGTAGGGGGAAAGAGAGGCAGATGACACCCTGCACCGCGTCCTCAAACTCTTCGCTCAGCTGCCTAGCAAGAGCAGCAGCCGCACGGCATCCCATTGACCTGCCTGATTTTATCGTGAAAGGAATCCCATTTAGTGCAGCAGTTTGTCTAAAACACAACATAGCTATTATCAGTGGAAATCAACATGGGCAGGAGGCATTTCCTACTTACCTCCAAAAAATATGTTTTTCAACGTAAACCTCTCCAAGGTTTTCAAGTGGTCCTGAAATGACAGTTATAAGTGTTTATTTTTATTTAAATGAGGACACAGCAGGATTTCACAACATGCAAATTTCTCAAAATGCACAGATAGAAAAGGAACATTTTGCCTTTTTATATTCCAGTCGATGATGGCAAAAGAAAGATCTGATCAGCTGCTATTGCAAACTGTAAGTCAAATTTGCAGTAGTTTACATATTTCTACTGTTAAGCAGCAAAAGAGCAAACAGCAAAAATGTGCATCTTGAAAACTTTATTTGGTTCATTTCTGTTTGGCCATCTGATTGGTTTCTATGTATTCACTACTTCAAACAAAAGTAACGTTCTACTTTTTTTATTGAATTCTTTTGAATTGATTCTGCAGTTTGCCTTGTGAAACTTAATTTCAAAAATTTTTGGGTAAAGCCTTGTTTTTTGGGACGGGAAGAGAAAGACAAAACTGAAAAAACTATTAAATAGTGTTCAACAAGTGTCAAAATAGCTCACAAGTCAGATTTTTCCTTTCATTTTGCAATAAATAAATACGTACCCAGACAGCATTATAAGCTTTAACTCTATAAGCCAAGTTCAAGCCTTTGCATGTGAAACGGAGGCATAGAAAACCGTCTGATGCCAGAGCGTGCGCAAGAGAAACTAAATGTTTGAAGTTCATGTCTCCTCCCGCACCGTGCGTTAGTATGACGGCTGTCTGAACGTCATTCAGTGACGCTGGAACACACAAGAATGCGTCCAGACTCTTTGTCCCGAACGGTACTTTTACAAGTTCCTGAAAGACAAGTATAAAAGCAAGTCATTCATCTGCACTGCTTACTGCACTTCTTCATGACGTACAGGCTGTGCATCCTCATCTACAGCCTCTGAATTGTTAATTCTTCTTTTCAGCCTACACCGCTTGAAAACGGCGCCTATTTTTAATGAATTTCATATGGTATTTGAACGAATACCTCATTAAACCTGTCCATTGCAGGCGATCCTTCTCTGTGAAATATTTATAATGACTGAAAATGAGGGCCATCTAGCGTTCAGGAGTGGCATTTACAATTTTTCAGTTTTTGCCCATCAGTTTAGGAACAGTGCCACATATTAAATTCAGGTCTGGACCCCTGCCATGTTTCATAAAACACTTAGAAAATGTAAAATTTTCTAAACTATGCGCTTATCTGTGTTGGCTCATCTCATAAAACAATTGAAAAAAAGGGGAACAAAACACTATTGTGTTGTATGTAACATGCAAAACATGAACACAGGGCCAATATGACTTTTGCAGTGATTTTTTTGTGAATGTAATGCTAATGTATAAACAACAAGGAAATAAATCACACACCAATGTAAAAAGTAATTTTAATTATATAAAAAAGTGACATTCATCTTATGATAAACAAATAAATCATAACTTGCTAAAATTACTTGGCAATTTCAGATATGATGCATTGCTCTTCCCATGGTGTAAGATCAAAGTTCATCTTTTGCCTGAAAAAGGGAGACAGATGAACCGCATTAGTAAAAGAAAAAAAATGTAGTGCGATGGCAAGTCATGTACAGCAGAGGGAGCCGGATACTTTAAAATGAAAGTATCTTTTTATTGGAGCCCATTACAAAAAAGCTAAATTTAACTGAAAATTTAGTTTCTTAAACTTTAAAGTGAGTTAATAATAAATCACTTTGGCCAACAGAAGATTCATTTAATGGAGGGAAAAAAGACAGTTTTTATATTAAAAAAATAAAATAAAATCACACTTGTCAGAACAGATTTTAACAAATACATTGTTGATAAATATGTCTTAAGCTGTTTAACATTTTTTCTAAACATGCTGAAGGAAACATGCTGAGATCCCTTACCATTGTCCGGACACAGGAACATGGAAACAAGTCATCCTTTGGTTGTTCCACAAACTCCATGCCCTCCCGAACCTTAGGCTCTGTGATCTGCAGTCTGGAATACTCCTATATGAAGCACAGCAAAAATTATTTTACGGATTTTGTTCACTCAACACAACAATCAACATAATTTACTCGGGTTGGTATTACAGCAGGGGTAAAGGAAAAATACAGCAATGATACCTTGAAAAGCTTGTAGTAGTAACAGAATATACAATCTCCCATTAAATGACTGCGGGCAAACTGCTGACCTGCAAGAGCAATTTTTCTTGCCTGCAAAAAGATGAGAGTTTTAAAAACAGAACCCCAAGGAGGAATTACGCTTCGAAAAATCAATAGGTTACATGATAAATTCAATGCTTTTCACAAATATAAAACCTAAAAGAAAATACACATCCAGCAAGCCTGAAAATAACAATGCATTTCGACTTATTTATTAATTTACAGGAATGTGAACTATTTACACTTTTTTTACAAACTAAAATCTGATTAAGTGTACTCTGCATTTGTATCCAAACCTCCTGAGAGTGACAAATTATGTTTTTTACACAAACTTCTCTAAATCCTACTAAATGCATTGCAGTTTGTGCTTATATCATGATTACATTTCAGGAGGTATGAATACTTCACTACGCACTGTATAATTGATGAGCTCCTGTTGATAGATTTATATATAGTTAACTCATAGAGGCGTAAAATAATCTCAGCAACTCAATAAATTCACACTCATGAATAATGCAATCTTAAATGGACTGCCTACAGCATTACAAAGCAAACTGAAGAGATCTGATAATGGAAAAATAATGTGACCATTATTTAACAGATACAATGAGCACAGCAGGAAGGCTTGGATTTTTCCATTACTCTGTTCTTCCAGTTGGTATTTTAACAGTGGATTCTGCAGATCACAGGTGTTAAACTCCAGTCCTGGAGGGCCACTTCCCTGCAACTTTTAGATGTGCCTCTGCTGCACCACACATGAATAGAATAATTAGGTCATTGTCAAGGCTCTGGAGAACTGATCTACAAGATCAGTTGGAATGAAATTAAGCCATTTCATTTCAGGGTTTTGTACCTGTGGCACATCTAAAAACTGCAGGACAACGGCCCTTGAGGACTGGAGTTTGGCACCTCTGCTGTACATGATCCTGCTCGAAAAGTAACAATGTGCTCTCTTGATAAGGGCAAAAAAATATGTGCGAAATGGTTGTTCATAACGACATCAGTTCAATTTTAGTGACCATAATTATCCAACATATGATCACCTCGTCATCATGGTCTCGGGCCCATTTGATCTTTTCCAGCAGGTCACCCAGGTTTGCTTTTATTGGGATGTAATGCTCCCACGGCCGCAGCTCGTTGTAGAAATGCTCGTAGTAGCTGGAATCCTGCTTTAAGACCACACTGTCTCCGGCCAGCAGGTACGGCAGACGGTAGGCTGCTACTGTCCCATCAATGTTTATTTGATACTTATACTGCAGATGAACAAAAAAGGGGAAACAAATGAGATAATTACTTTCCTGAAGAGAAATTAGTTTCTAAATAGTTTTGATGTAGGTATTCCAAACTTCTCTATCCACGTCTGCCTGTTTTTAAATCTAAATTCAAACACTTTTATATTAGGATAGTTTCTACTTATGGGATCTACAAATACCAGACACTAACATATACAGGAAAGAAGAAAGGACAAGAGTGAAAGAATGGATACAAGAACAGAAAAATATGACACAAGGGCACAATGAATGACAAAAGGAGGCAAAGACAAGAAAAATTAACAAACTCACAAAAACTGAAGGAAATAAAGAAGGAATACTGGAAAGAAAGAAGACACAGGAAAGAACTTTGGAATAAATACTTTTACTGAGTGCTTCCATATCCAAAGTTGTACTTAACTTGGCAACTAGTTTTCCCATATAGGAACTTTAAAGACGTATTTAATTGGTTTCAGGACATATCCCACAGAGATGACGTGTCTTCATGCACCTTTATCACTTACCTTGAAGAAATCAAAGAAAGAGACGTGTTTGACCAGCGGGCCGTAGAGACTCTCATCATGTTTGAAGAAGAAGAAGTTAGTGAAAGCAGCATCTATAAAGTCGGGGCGAGCTCTAGAAAGCTTGACCAGCTGTAGGCGCTCCTGGCGGCTGTCCCGACCCCTCCAGAAGGCCGTGGCGTTCTTCTCCGGCCACGGCGGCCCCGTGTTGGCCTGGACCGACATCATGTCCAAGCTCACTCTGTCCGGTGCAGGAAAATAAAGAGGTGTAGTCAAATCTCTTGCTGTTCCAGAGGTAAATAATCTAACTGTGACAAAATATACTTCTGTTTGGTCAAACTCAGTATCTTAAAAAAGCTAAATAAAATTTGCAGGCTGTTCTTCTTGCATAACATAAGAGTCCAAGTCATTGTGATAAATCAGCAGAAACATTACAGAAAATAATTTATTTATGAACATTTTATAAGCAAATGAAGTCCCCTGTAGACACAAAATGAATAAAATATAATCTTTCAAAAAAGCTAATTTTAAACATGGATATTCTGCTTTTTCATTTAAATAATGTTTTATTTGCTGAAAAAAAAATCTATTTTTTAAAAGCCTCCTCAGAATAAACAGTGGGATTTGTTTCGTGTGTTGCTGTTGTGTTGGGTCAGTTAGAGGGGCATTCAGACCTGCTGTGCATAGACTATCACATCAAAGATACAGCATTTAATGTCTGGCCCTGTTGTCCATGAGGAATACAATATTTGTTAACAAATTAATTAAAATGAACAAAAAACAAAAAAAAAAAAACACCCATATGTATGTACATGAATTATCTGTAAAAAAATAATTGACCTGTGATTTTAAATGCAAATATAAAAGTTCCTGGGTTGTGAATACTCTTGCAAGGCACTGAAGGTCAGAGTGCCTGTTCTAATGGAGAAGTTTTCTGCAGGCCAATTTTTAAACCTTTGCAAGGACAGCAAGAACGAGACAAATTACTTCCTTTGATTTCAGTTTATTAAGGCTAAAACCAGCTGAGGCTTCGTTTTCAAAAAGCTTCTGGAGTGCACTCCAAGTTCACCTGCATAAATAGCCGATTGTGTATAATAATAATAATAATCCTGTAAGCTTTTGCTGAATGAGACTTAATTATACTACTAACTCCGGTGCTAAGCAACACTTAATAAGCATATTGATTCAAAGGCCCTACCTTCCCATGCTCTCCAGAACTGACTCAGTCAGGTCGTAAGTGGGCATGACGATATCTCTGGTGTTGTTTGAGCCACACCAAGAAAAGATAGGATGGAGCTTATCAGTGGTTTTCCTCTTCTCCAGGGGCCAGTCACCCAGATTTACAAAGAACTCAACATCAGGGAGTCGAACCTGCAAATACACCCTTACAGAATATCAATAATTCAGCTCCTGTCTGATGTTCTCGTATATATATTAAAAATGAAAGCCTTACAGAAAAGTAGCATCACATTCGATAGGATCATATTCTCTGTGTTTAACTATTAAATTGAAGGACAATTTGTTTAAAGCTCACCTTTCTTGTGAGTGACAGTAAGATGGCATCCATAAAGATTCTAAATCCGACATGTTCTCCAAATGTTTTCACATACACCTGAAAGGAAAAGAAAGGACAAAATGAAGATGCAGGGTTTCCCCTAGTACATTATAAGCCTAGTGGGTCACCAGGCTTTACTTGTGTCCCCACCAGGCTAAGCTTTGCTTAAGTTATTTATAAGTTCTTTTTTTAATGTTTGCATTTTTAAGACTTTATAGTTGGTCATTAGTCTTCAATCTAAAATACCACATATTTATCAAGTGATATTTCTCATTTTCCAGTCAACTTTAAATATTTAACTCAAAAGGATGATGGGCCACTGGATGAATGACTGCACCAGCGCTCCAACCACCAGGCTTTGCAAGTTTTCTGAAGACGTTTGGCAAAAATAAGTCACACCAACCTCTTTTGCATTTCAGATTGATTTTTAAGTTCATCTAGGTACACTTATAAAAACAAAAAATACATTAGATGTTTAAAAAGATGCCGTTTTGGGAATGACACTTTAGAATGATGCATCAACTTGCTTTGATTAATCTTATAAAATCT